TAGAGAGCCGGGACTTGCATAATTTTGTAGAGTAACGTCCGAACTATCTACGCATGCAAAAAAATTACTAACATTGTATGTTAGTTTTCTGAGAACGGAGCTGGTTTTCCAAAGATCCTCTGAAAACGCGATTTCTGGAATTTTTTCAAAAGTTGCTTCTGCTTGTGAAAAGTTCTACTCAAGTCTTGGCTATTGAACAGCGAAAATCGCAGGTCTCTATCTCATTCCTATCAAAAGTTATTCAAAAAATGCCCACGGGTCTTGTATTTTGGGATGGATAGTAGTTTGGATGCGCCATTGGATCAGTACTATAAAACCATAAAGAGCATATTTCCTGAAAAAATGTAGAATATGACACGTTGAGATCTTGAGACTCTTACGTATGAATAAAAAAGATGTTGGTGAAGTTTTGCGCTTAATGTTTGCGTCGTTCTTATCTCAATTCAAATCCTGTTGGTTCTTGCATTACAAAAAGATACTTCAAAATCGTCGGATATTCGTATATATCAAGACCTCCACATATCACATTCTTCAGTATTTTGGGAAATATATCTTTTATGAGACTTGTCATCTCAAAGAATGTAGTCTAAAGAATATTTTTGCTGCGCGTGTGTGTGCAAATATTTAAAAACTTAAAGATTTATATATATCTTTAACTATTATATGTAAAAAAACTTGGAATTATGAAAAAAAGAGTGTCTTACCGACGCCAAATAATTTATGTTTTGCTCATCAACGAAACAATTAAAATATGTTCATCGATGGTAAGGTGTTTACTATTTAAAAACTATTCATCAACCATAAACATGTCAGTATCAATGAAGAGGATTCTAACAACAGAGATTCTAACAAAAGATTTGACTAAAAATATTGATTTTGAATAAACACATTCCATTTGACGTCATCAATAATAATCAGGTTTTGCATCTATCACCTGTATCAGCGATAGTCATAACTACCATTCAAGATTTCCATGTAAAAAGTCGCGCTCTAAAAAATGCGTCTAAACTCCTAAAGTTTTATTTTGAACGCGTTTGAGCGCATAATTATCTAAAACCTTTTACATGAGACAAGTTGGAACGAACAACTACCGTTTGCTAATGGCGCAAGAATAATGTGAGCAAAATCAACAGACACTAAAGTAATTAGAAATATTGTTATTAGTAACGTTTGTGCATTTTTAATCATCAACCTTGGCTTACATCTCTCAGATGAGTGTATTAAAACGAATCTATTTGAGAATACTAGACGAACAACCTGAATATATTCATCGATCATAAAAGCAAATTTAAAAAGTATGAAAAGTACAAAAAACGAAGAGAAAAAACATATGTACAATCGTTGACGCCAGATTGAATATCGCAGATGTAGAATTAGAAACAACGGAAAATCCATTATTCATAGTAAGTCTATGGTGTTTAGAAAGAGTAAATAAAGACATAGTTGTCACTTTGAACAGGTGATCAATAGTCAAGAGTACTATTGGAAATAAAGGAGCCTTATTTTTGGAATTTAATTATTTATTCAGAAACTGAAAGATTACGTTGGAGGGTCAATATAGTTGTCTGTTGGAATATTACTATTTACAAAATATTATTATAATAAAGATGTTTTCTTTATATCCAATGTCATGATGATGTCACAACTTACCTCATTTTTGAATAAAAATATCTTTTGACAAAAGAAAATGTTGATCATAAATTTTAGCGAGTTTCTATTATCTATCTTCTATCTTTCCTATGAGTTTGAAATCCATTCATCACGTTTTCTTGTAGCTGTATGTATGACTGTAATTACACAGGATCATAGGCCTTTCCACATTTCCTGCACTTATCGTTCTCTCCTATTATAGCAAAAAAAAAAAGTAAAAATGAATCTTATGTTGATTACAATGCTGTTCTTTTAATAATATTTGTATTTTTTGCTTGAAAATACGCTAATCCTTGCAAAGATTTTTTCCGCAATTAAAGGTAAAGTATAAAACATAGGAAGAGGAAATAAAATCATATTTTACAGAACGGAAAATATTCTACCGACAGGGGTGGCGTGCACCGATGGAATAAGGATTATAATACATTTTACGTCATAATAACTCTACTGTCTCTGTCTATATTCTAGCCCACAGCTGAAAATCATCGTTTCTTATGTATTTAGACCTTAATCCACAAATATAGTAGAGAAAAAAAAACACAAAAATATAGTTAGTTGTACTAATCCATTCTTTTTCTGATATAGCAAAAAACAAGAATATGTACACTGTGTATCATTGATAAAATGTAATTATTTTGATCGTTCTCGATAAAAAATAATCCGCCAAAAGTGATGAATCGATCATATATTTTGAGAAACAAGCGTAAATAAAATTTTTTAAATTAAATTGTGCTTCAATGTGTACATAAATTTTATTATATAGAATAAAACGATGCTAGTGGAGTTTCTATCACCATCTGAAGAGAGTAAAACATTATCGATTACGGTGGAAGATGATGAGATATGCACTTCAAAAGATCACAATGACTCGTTGATTAATGTGACATTAAAAGATGAAAAATCATTAGAAAGAGAAACATGGCCAACAAAATGTGATTATTTGATAACAACATTAGGAGGACTAGTAGGACTAGGTAATATTCTCTGGGTAATAGTAATTTAAAACATGGATTGATCACTCACACTCTAGGCAGTATTTGGCGTTTTCCCTATTTGGCATTTCAAAATGGTGGAGCAGCGTTCGTTATTCCATACTTTATTATTAGTTCACTATGTGGAATACCTTTGTTGATCATGGAAACTGCTCTCGGTCAATTTTCGTCGAAAGGATCAGTAGGTTGTTGGGATTTTGCACCAGTTATGAAAGGCATTGGTATTGCATCAGTATTTATCTCATTTTTCGGAGCATTATATTATGTTATTATTATGGTTTGGTGAGTAGATCTCTAATGTTTTCTGTCTTGTTGTATATAATGAATATTATTCTAGGGGTGGCATTTATTTATTCTATTCATTTGCTACGATTGGGGGAGAATTGCCATGGAGTGATGACACCACAAGAAAGAGTTTAGCAGATAGATATATTTTTACATCTTAATAAATCTGATTTATGAGCGATTCTTTCTATTAATCTTGTTGTTTCAACGACAGAGTCATATGTTCATAAAACTGCGTTGTATATAACTTTGTTTAGGTATAAATTCTACACAACAATTCTCAAATCAAAGTGTGGTTGCATCTGTTGAAAAATTTTGGAGTGTTTCTGTATTGAATAAATCACACGATCTATCTGGTCTATTAACATTTCATTGGCCAAATGTTGTGGGTTTATTTTGTATGTGGTGTATCATCTACTTTTGTTTATGGAAAGGTATCAAAATAACAAGTCGTGTAACGGTATTTACAGGTTAAATAGGACAGAAATAATTAAGATAGTCGGACGCCACTCATTTTTTACCATATTTTAGCGTTATTTCCGTATGTGCCGATGATCGCTTTATTTATTCGTGGCATTACATTGGAAGGTTCATGGTACGGATTACGGTACTATATAATACCCGATGTCAAACGGCTGTTGAGCGCTAAAGCGTGGACTCAAGCTGCTGGTCACGTTTTGTGGGCCTACGGTATTGGATGGGGCATCATTCCTGCACTTTCTTCTTACAATCGTTCAGATTATAATTTTTTTCGTGATACTCTCATAACTGGCATAATAAGTATATTAACAAACGTTTTTAGTGGTTTTATCATTTTTCCGGTAGGTAATAGTGGCTAGAAATATCCTGTGTAATATTAGTTCTTACTATTCATACAGGTATTAGGATTTATGGCTGTAAAAAAGAATGTGACTATTGACAAAGTCTTATCAAGTGGTGACGGATTGGCATTTATTGTATATCCGAAAGCTATTTCATTGATGCCATGGGCTCATTTTTGGGCTGTTACATTTTTTATCATGATATTTTTATTGGGCATTGATTCTCAGTTTGTACGTAATAGTGGAAACATTCAAATGTCTAACAAATCTTCTTAAAACGTCAGTTTATATTCTGTATAGGTAACATGTGAATCAGTATTAACAGCCGCAATTGATAAATTAGCTCAACTACGTCAACATAAAAAATTACGCCGTGAAACAGTTGTAGCTATTTATGTTTTGATATCGTTCCTTTGTGGTCTACCAATGTGTACAAAAGCTGGCTATTACATTTTCAATTTATTTGATTCTTATATTTGTGGTCCATTACCATTATTGATCATCTGTATTGCTGAACTATTTACCGTTCTATTTTTGTATCGTAAAAATTTTCTGTCTTGGTTTAAACAATGGCCGCCCGATGTATGGCCAGGAAAATTATTTATAATGCATATAAAGTAAAGTAAAAGATCATAATGAGTTTTTAACTTTCAATAGTTTTTTTATTGTTCTTTGTTCCCAGTGATACATTAAAACAAAATTTGACATATATCTGGCTATGCTGGTTATTTGTTATTCCCATTTGGTTATTTGGCATGCTTGGTATGATTTTGAGTACATTAAAACCAATTACATTCGAAAACTATATTTATCCTTTACCATTTCAAATAATCGGTTATTTCGTAATGAGCATATCTCCGCTAAGTATACTGTTATATGCAGTCATCTATTATTACACAAAAACAAGGTAACTCGTTTAAAAAGTCATGATAATTATTAGCAGATGAAAGAAAGTAGAATACATTCATCAAATGTGTCACGTTTCAGATTCAAAGAGAATCTTATCAGCAAGTGGATGACGAACAATTTTATTTTGTAACAATATCGATAATAACGATATAATTATTTAGTAGGACTAATTTTTATACCATAGTAATGAACAATATCTAATATATTATTAGATTAAGGCCCACTCCAATTAGAAACGTATCTCAGTAACTATAACTACGATGTCAACTAAACTTTCAGAGAATTCCTCCTCCTGATGAAATATAGAAGCTAGAAGAATCTGAGTTACTTTAAATTTGTGATAATGATCTAAGACAACAACGTAAACGGGTTGAATTTTTCTTTCTTTCCAGAAGAGAAATATTGTGGCTCAAAAACTCGAAAATACACTGAAATTTTTTCAGAAAATTCTAGTTTTAAAGAATCTGCTTCCGAAGCTAAGCTCTTTTACATTATTATCACGACTGTTATCTTTAAAGACCAATCTGAACTCTGAAACATTTCATTTGATGGAGAAATCTGGGGAACAGTAATCACTGAGTCGAAAAACGTTTTCGAGGTATGTTAGCGCTACTGTATGATGTCACATTTTAGAGCTTTTCGTATAATTCTTATAACTTTTGAGTAAAGAATCATCTAAAGCTAGGAGACGTCTCATTTGAGTAAAAATGTTTGCTTTACAGTCTGGGATTATTGAAAGAAAATTTGGTGCGTTTTTCCATTGATAAATCTTAGTTTTTTGCAAAAGTCTTTCGTTCATGGCTTTTCGAAAACCTTTCTAGAAACCGCTAAGAATTTTCGTTCAATATCGACCTTATTGAAAAATTTCGTATCTCTGACAGCAGTTTCTGAGTTTCATGGCGTACTTTATTGTACTCTTATGTTAGTGAATTGATTTCAGGAATTTCTACAACCAAGTTTTTTCCTCTTAAAAAACAAGAGGGAATAATGTGAGCAGTTCTTTTGAAAGAGAGAGTAAACACTAACTCAATGGCATGTTTAAGAGAGTAGCAGGACGGCCGTCTAAGGCCTAAAAAACATGGATACGCTGCTGCGCTAACTATATTCTAAGTTTAAATAAGTGTGAACAAATGTATTGTCGTCTATATGCCGTTACACATTATTTATTAAACACAACGGAAATAGAACTTAGACAGAAATGTTTGCATTACTATTAATTTTTTAAAATAGAATTTGAAAGGATATAATTTAGACATTTGTGAAAAGATAAAGTCTATTAAAAAATTACTGTATGAAAATTTTTGTCACGAAAAACCACAGCGTAGGACAGATAATACGTTTATTTTGAGTGCATACTTTTCTTTCAATTTCTATACTCGAGACTACTACTAGATACCTTAGAACAGACGAAATCTATTAACACCGACAAGCAACTAAAATGTACGATTGACCTCTATTAACCTTTTTGTTCAGAAAAATAGATTGATTTCAAAAGAAACAGGATAAAAAAGAAAAAAAAGTAATAACCTATTGTTCTTTCTATGTGTAGATTGTTTAATAATAAAAACAGTAGTCAAATTTCTTCTCGATCTTTCATCTTCTGGTAAGGGGAACAAAAATCACAATAGAAGCATAAATAAAAAATCTTTTTTCATCCTGTCAATCTCCTATTACTTTTTTTTTGAATAAATATTTTGTTTGTATCAACAAATAAAATTTTACTCGTTTCAATTCGATCAAAGTCAAGTTTTTGTTTGAAAAAAAAAAAATTTGAATATTCATTCATAGTGGGATATAAGGAGAGAAGAAGGCAATGTCCATAGAACAACAGGAGAAGGACGCATTTAGTGTTCATGATTTTGAAGAACTATTATCATTAGATGATATATTTGTTGATTATTTTAATGAATTTTTAAAATGCAATGCCTTTCCACAATTAATTGAATATAATCGTGAGTCACATACATTTTTGGAACAGAAAAGTGACCATAACAAAAATAAACATGATGATAGTGATGAACAGAATAATGACGATAATCTCTTGTTTGATCGCGTATTTCAATTTGATGATATTAAAGTTGGTGATAATACTAAAACAAAAACATTTGATAAACTACGTCAAGCACAAATGATTGAATGGGCAAGAAGTGAACGTTTACAATTATTTTGGCGTACAGAACTTTATCGGGAGTATAAATTATGTAAACAAATTCTGAGACCATTGACAACAGAAAAAGATGGATCATTATATTCTAGTCAAGGTAAATGACAGAAAAGTTTGTCTAGAAGACAAACAAAAAATATTTCATTACATTTAGGAATTGGTGGTTATAGTCGTCAAAGTATCTATACAGCTCAAACATTGTCATCAACAGAAAATTCAAATACGGATTATATTGATGAATTAGATAATATTACGAACAAAAATAATAGTGGCAGTAATGTAAATGCCATCTTTGAAGATCCATTGTTAGTCTTAGAACTTCGCATGCCAAAAGCATTTCTGAGACCGGGTAGTCGAGCGTACAGTGTCCCCGTTTACATAGGTAAGATTATATCTTCAACATTTTTAAAATAAATTGTCTTTTTTTGTATACAAATCATTTTAAACATCTATAATATCAGTAATTTATGTTTCTTTTTGGTTATCTATTTTATAGAAAGTACCAAAGCGCTATATACGAAACCAACAGAATCCAAATTAAACAAAATGTCAAAAAGATCAACTAGTAGTAAAACAAGTGAAAAAAAATCAACATCAAAAGATACAACTACAATGTCTTCTCTGGGTGAAAATATGGATGTTGCTCAAACCTCACTTGCACTAGAAGATGAACGTTATTTGCCAAATGTAAATGAAATTATCTATGATGATGATGAAGAATTTCTTGGTTTTGAATTACAAAGTTCAACAAATCAATTGAAATACAAATATTTAGGTTAAAAAAAAAAAAGAAGAAATTTCTATCGTCTTCTGAACATTTTTGTTAAGGTTCCTTTTCTTTTGTTAAAGGTTCCTATGCAGGTATGCAAGATTTTATTGAATTTCTTAAATCTACAAATGGTTATGATTTATATCGTTTTTGGATGGATTGTGAATTTTATAAGGATACAATGGAAGGATTGGATGATGTTAAAAACATTGTGGCACGTACACGACTATTTCGGGATTTAAATGAAAAATATCATTTTCCATTCATGTGTCATTTAAAAAATAAAATTCGAACATCCTATAAGGAAAATAAAGAAGGTTCATTAACCCATGAAGTTTTTCTACAAGTTCAATATGATATTCTTAGAAGATTACGTATTTATTGGTGTTCGAGATATATTATTCATCAATTATTCATTCATAATCATCAATCACAAGATAATTTTTCATCAAAATATGAACTATCTAGTGTTAATTTATATCCAATTGACAATAAAGTTGTACCAAATTTAACCGAAATGACACAAATATTTTTATCGGATGATTATACAAATAAAAAAACACATACAAAAAATTTGATATTAAATTATAAACAATCACCAATAGAAATAGAATTAGATCGTATATATTCGACAAAATTTATGAAAAAATTTTATAAATCAATGAAACAAGATAAAATAGCGGGTGGACTATTTCTTCGATATATAACCTATAATGAACGAGATTTATTACCGCTCATATTATTTTGTTATGATGTAGATGATTTTCATTATTCTGATCTAGATGATAAAGTATTAGAAGGTACGACATAAAAATCTTAATGCTTATTACTCAGATTGATTTCATACGATCGTAAACGACGACTTACGACCAAATACGGTCGTATTCCATGCAGACGTAATACGTTATCGTATACAACCGTCGTGAAAAGTCATACACGATTGTAAATGGTCGTAAACGTTTTCTTTACGATCATCGTATAAGACAAACGTATTATGTCTGAATGTATATGACGATTTACGACCAAATACAGTCGTTTACCACCTCATTACGACCGTAAACCGATCGTAAGTAGATGTATACGACGGTCCTGTTTTCATTGCCCTGGTCTATTCTAAAAACTTATTTTTATATTTTCATAGGACAACATGCATTATCGATTATTAATACGTATCTTGGTATGTATGGATACAATGAATCTTGGATTTAACAAATAATATGATTATTGACTTTTTTTTTAGGAAATTCTGCTAAATTACCTTTAAATGAATATTTACCAAACATTGATATTAAAACAATGATAACGTGTATAAAAACGCATGAGTTTGATAAACTATTTTTTGAAACACTTTATAAACAAGCTTTATTATTACTGAAAGATGCATGGTTAAGATGTTTGAGAGATGATATAGATCGATTAACAACAGCGTATTATCTTCCAGATCAAGACAGAAATACGAGCAGTGAAGATGAAGCAGAAGATGACGAAGAAGATGAGGTTATGCAACCCGAAAAGACTGTTTATAATCACCATTCGGCAAAGAAAATAAAAGAAAGTCGATTAAATGCTGTAAGTGACTGAAGATCAAGTAAAATAATTAAGTAGAAATAAAATATTCGTGCACTAAAGTAAATCATTTTGTTTTTTTGTAGGTATCAAGATTAAAATCACCGAATACTGAAATGAACGTGACAAACGATGTTATTTATGTAAAACGTCCATGGGTCGAACGATATCTTTCGTCAGCTACCAGCGAACGACAACAACGTCTCATAAAAGCAATTGATTTTTCGATGACAGATGAAGAACGCCAACGTATTCGTGTTGAAAGACTTGAGCGTGTAAAAAAAATTGAAACAGCACGTAAGAAAGCCTTAAAAGCAGCGAAACAACGACGTTTACGTGGTGGTGATAAACGTAGTAGTATATCAAGTCATTTTACAGCGAGTACTGGTAAAAATGATGGTACTTTGTATATTGATCGTATATTAAATAGTTCGACAACGAAAGATAACAAACGTATAATATTAAACTATTTCCAACGACGTCTTAAATCAAAAAATATCAAACTCGATAATAAATTAACGTTAGTATTTGATATAATGAAATTTATGGATGCAACTAATCATTTAGAAAAACAACAAATGCTTGATCGAATGAAAAAATTTTATCTTGATGTTCAGTCAAAACGAACAGTAATACCGTTAAATGAAAAATTAACACAACAGTTAAGTGGTGGTAGACCCGATTCACCATTTTTACGTTCAGCGTATAAAGAGTTACGCAACGAATTAGAAGATGAATTTGTATCATTTTGTGAAGATTGTGCAAGAGAATTTCAAATTGAATCAGTTGAAGAATTTCTATCAAAATCGAGTACAGAATTAACAATGTTGTTCAATGAAGCGGGTGATTATTTTACAAATGGTGGTGATAAACTTGGTGATGATGATGATCAAACAGCAACAAGTGGAAATGATGAATATGAAAAAAATAATGATGGTCGAGGTAAACCAACAAAAAAACATTTTACAGAATTATTTAATTTGATACAAGATGCAGCTGTTGGAAGATACAATCCAAAATTTTTCTATTTCTATGCCTATTTAACACATTTTGTGAATAAAGATAAAGTACCATATTTAGATCGTGATCTTTTATTTTGTATTGATGTATCACGTATTAAAGAGATAGCTAATGATGCCATGTTACAAGCAAAATTAAAATATATTCTCGAAACATATTTAGAATCAACAACTCCACCAGCAATTCAAATTGATATAACGAATTATGAATTAAATATGCGTATGATAAAATCATTACAAAAAGCCCTTCAGGCGAGTGTACATGAATACAGTGCGTTTGAAGAGGCGAGAATGCAATTAATTAAAGAAAAATTAGTATTTTATTATGCCGGTTTTAAAAATTATTTATTTCGTCAAAATAATGCGAATGATCGTCTTATAACAAAATCAACTTATCCCGTTATGAAAACAACAGTTCAACAAATTGCACAAATTAAACAAAAACCATCGGCAGTCGTAAATGTTCTCATAACAGAAGTAAATGAGAATGAACAACCACAACCGGAACGAAAAGTAGTGCCGCGTAAAGCGATCACTGTTCTTTCAAGACATTCCACTGTGACCCCCCCGCAAGATCTAACAGCAATTACAAAAACACAACGAGTACTCGACGCACGCATGGACGAATTTCAACGTATCAAATCGCCAAAAGTGTCTGATGTACAATTTCCAAAAAA